AATCTCAATATCTGCAGAAACTGCATGCCTGCTTTAGATAGCTGTGCAGGTGAAATGGACGACCCATGACGACCCTCTTGGCTCCAAAGGATGTAAAGCAAGAAGGGAGGCCACCAACACTAGCAATTTCCAATCGGCACCATTGGCAAGAACTCAACAAGTGCCTGTGGAGTCTGGAATATCACTTGCAATCCTTGGTTGCCAGTGGTCCCCGAGTGTTGCTTCAAAGCTCCTTTGGTGGTTTACCTCAAGGGTTCCTAAGGTTCTAGGAACCTGACACCTGGTTCGCCGCCGACTTGCTGCAAGAACCCGTTTTGCATCGAAACATGTTCGAGCTCTTTGGCAGCGCCGCCAATCAGCAATGCCACATCCTCAGCCCGGATGGCTTGGAGCATGTGGCTCGATGGGGTATGAGTTGGTAGCGGTCTCGTTCATGGAAATCAAATCTTACAGTAGCACTGCCCCCAAACAATTTTTTTGCGTTGAGATGTTTTTGATTGCCTTCAACTAGACCTCTTTATATTCGCAAGTGCAACAAGGTGTTTGCCACCCTTTACTGCAGGAGAGCAGCATGTCATGTTTGGAGAAGGAAGGCATGCATATGCAAGCATGTTGAACTTATCGCGCTATATCACTAGCACTCTTGGCTCTGAAAGTATACTTGTTTTCGCAACATGGCTTTACCTGACCTTGCCACTTTGGCGGATGAGTGGGAAGACAACAAGGCTTTGCGAGACTTGGCTCGCAAGACTGGCTCGCTCTTCAAATCTGATGATGATGCGGAGGACGTGCCACCCTGCACAGTCAAGGGCTTGGAGGCCAACTACGATACCATTTTGCCTTTGATCACGCGACTCTCCGATGGGGTTGGTGGTTTAGACATGGCGAGCATTCCGCAGCTAGAGCAATCGCAGCTTGATTGCATGCTATGTTGTAGCTGATTGGGTTTGTAGGCCTAGGGCTCACGATGGCTCTCGACTCTCAAGGTATAGTCTGTCATGCAAACGCATGCATGTGGGGACCTTTTCACCGCCAAGGCTGAACAAGTTCTATGAAGCTGTCCATCTGACACCGACCAAGCGGCGGGTCAAGTTGGAGGCCTGGCTTTGCAAAAAGTACGCAGTGCTCGTGAAGAGGAAGCTGCAGCGTGGGCAGCTGCCACGCTCCACCTCTTTGAGGCTGTTGCTTGCTGCTGCATTCCCCGCAGGAGTCTGGGGAGGCGACCAGGATGAGGATTGGGCAAGAGGGTTTCTGAACCATACGGCTCATGAGTGCAAAACTTTGGCAGTTGTTGTTCAAAGCCATTTGTCCATAATAGTTCATTGCCTGTTTGAATTGACTCTCTTGACTCTCTTGACTCTGCAAGGACCAGGATGGCAATGATACCAATCGACCTGATGGCACTGGTCCTGGTGAGCCCTTGGCATTGACCCAGGAAGAGGAAGATGCTGAGGATGAAGTGGCAGTGGAAGCCGAGCTCAGCCATGACTTTGACGAACCTGGAGTGATCGCTGAAGCTGAAGCTGCTGAGAAGGCAGGTGAGAGTCCAGAGGTGATTGACTTGGGGAGCCAGGAAGATGATCAACTTGAAGAGCCGCCTGCCATGGATGAGCCATTTGCTGAATCTCAAGCTCCTGAACCCGAACCCCTTGATGGAGCTGAGTTGAGTGATGAACCTCCAGCAGGTCCTTCCACTGACCTGGTGGGGGATGCAGACTCACAGGACTTGCAAGGGCAAATCAAGGAACTCCAGGACAATCTAGCTCGCATGAAGAAGCTGCGGACTGCCAAGAATCTTGATTAAATTGTCAACCTGTTCTTGGTTAGTGTTTGCTGCACCCCCTGTGAATTTGTTCCAGAGCGAGGTCCCAAAAGTGGGAACCTCTTCATGTTCTGATAGTGCTCTTCCTGAGGCAGGCCCAGGAGGCCTTGTCACGGACCACTAGTGGCATCTCCAAGACCATCCGTGTGGAAGAGTCTTTGCCCTATGGAGCGGACAATATGGACACCCTGTTGCTCTCTGAGTCTCTTCAAGAAGCCGCTTTTGACCGTCTTGCTGAAGAAGCTCCAGCAGCCGAGATCATCCAAGAGGACATGGACCCAGCTTCTTGTCTGATCACTGCATCGACCAGCACACGGGGTACAACTTGCTTTCTTCTATTTCTTAAGATATTTCTTAGGTGTTTTTGGTTCAAGTGTCAAGGCATGTGCACCCCAAACAGGGCACTTGTGGCCTGCATACCCTGTTTCTCAGTATTCCATCCCAGGCTTTGCGCCGCCAGCAATTCCGCATGAGGCAGGAGAAGGCGGCGGAAGAAGAGGAGGGGGAAGGCCCACGCCCGAAGGCCAAGGCAAAAGCCAAGGGCCGACCCAAGGCTAAGGGGAAGGCCAAAGCAAAGGCCCAGTCAAAGCCGAAGGCCAAGTCTAAAGCCAAAGCTTCACCGGAACCAACAGCTGATGGAACAGTTGGCGCAACAGCTGATGCCGGAGAAGCTGAGACAAATGATGAGGTGTCTGGGAAGGCTGTGCCTTCAGAGCCAATTCATGAAGATTGTGCGCCTTCAAAGGCAACTTCTGAGAAGGTCCAGGCGTCGGTTGAGAAGGGAGCACCCTCAGAGGCGGTTGCTGAGAAGAGTGGGCCCTTAGAAGCCGATCCTGAAAAGGATGAGCCTGCAGTGGACCCACAGATGGGGTGCTCGAAGGTGGATCCTACAGGTCAGCCTTCAAACCCAGCATCAAGCAAGGCTCGGTCTGCCAAGGCAAATGTTGATGGAAAGGATGTATCTTCCAAGGCACGGCTTGCACGCGCCAAGTCAAGTGCCAATTTGCCTGAAGAAGAAGAAGCAAAGAAGCCGGCTCCGACAAAGCGAAGGCGTGTGAAGGAGACCCCTGAAACCACGGATGGTCTCAAGGACTTGCCTGTGGAACCCCAAGGTGACAAGAATTCTACCCCAAAGCCAATGGAGCCATTGGATTCCAAGATGGGCGAGAAGTGTTCGGAGGTAGCGGACCCGGCTGAAGCTGGAAAGAAGAGGGCCCGGAAAAGTGAGGATGGAAGCGGGAAGAAACGCAAATCTGGGGCTGAGCCCCCAGAGGAGGGAATTCTCTACCGTGGCAAGGCAGCCAAGAAGAAAAAGGAAGATGGCGCCAGTGCTCCTGCTCAGCCTGATGCCACTGCCGGGAAGAAGTCGCGAAGCAAAACCTTTGCAAAAAGGTACAGGCCAAACTCAGTATTTGGAGCTTCCAAGTGGGATGGCATCAAGGAGGCATTTGACGAAGTCATTCGCCCCAATGTGGATGGCCCCTACACTGCTCACGAGGACACTGATTTCAATAAGCAACATGTCCTATCGAATTGCTTGGGCAATGCGCTGTCTAATCCATTCTGCATGCTTGGGCCATTGTTTGATGGATGTTGATTGTTTTCTTGCTTTGCATTGAGCCTGGAGATGCCCTGACATGATCAGGGCATACCAGGTCTAGTGCATAGGATATATAGCTGTCAAATATGCATAAGTTTGCGTTTGACCACCTTCTGTCCTGAAAATCATTTTTTGGCAACTGCAATATTCAACTTGTGCCTTGTTTGCCTGATCGCCTGGAGGATTACTTTTGGACCTTCTGCAGCACAGCTTGGGACAAAGCCAAGGTGGAGATCACAGGTCAGAATGTCTATGACAAGGCAACGAAGGCAGCCCATGAGTATGTGAGCCAAGTCAATGCCTACCTAGGAAATACTCCGTAGGTTGAAAGTTCGGCTGGCAGCGATCCATAGATCACCATAGACTGATCGAGTTAGGGAGCTGGTTCAAGAACAACCTATTTCTTTAGTATGTTCAAAAAAATCTTTGGTATTGGTGACTGGGTCGCTGCGTGCAATATTTTGGTTGAGAGCTTTAGATTCCAGGGGAAACTCCTGGTAGTCAGGCGGTCTCACCTTGACCGCTTGGGCTTTCCAGGCGTGTAGGAATCTCACAATGCCAGAAATCCCTAGCTAAAGGATCTTTCATGATCTTTCAGTGGCAACCTACGTGCCACATGAACAGTTGACGTGGCAACTGCAAAACCAGCTTTTCTCAAGTGTGAGGTTCTTATCTTCCACTGCTCAGCCTTCCCCACATGGGATCTTCAGTCACACCCCGTCGACACCCGCTCACGTCTGAGGCCTGACTTGCGGCCATGGTTCGAGGAGATGGGTGGTCTCGCCGACTTCTTCCTGCCAGAAATTTCTTGAAGCGTGACCGTCACCCCAGCTCATTTTATTTGTGCAAGTCTCTGGGAGGCCCTCACAAGTGTTAGTAAGAATTGATGGGCCCATGCAATCGAAATAAGGATTTTGAAATGAAACGGAATGAAGGAATGAAGCTTGACAGCCACTGTGCTTCTTGCCAAAAAACTTTGCCCGCTACTGTCTCCTGAACCGATAGAAAACATCAAGGTTTTGACTAGATTGGCCAAAGTGGCTGAAGCCATGCCGTGCGATGAAGCCAAGTTGAACTTGGTCCTAAAGAGACTGGATGCCCTTGACGCTCCTAAGGCCAGCTTGGCGTTGTACGCTATGCATTTGTGGCTCTAGGGTGTTTCTCCACTACACCCTTTCCAAGCACCACGAACAACCTCCCTGCATAGGTGTTGCTTGGGATTGTCATCCTACTCGCTTGCTTGGATGATGTCCGCATCTTTACGGAGGCAGGTTCTGTTCCGAAGCATGGCTAGGTGATCAATAAGAATGGTTTGCTATATAGGTGCTTTTTTTGAGCTTGGCCTGACACCGACAAATATAATCTTCTTGTGCTGGAAGCGTAACTTGAATCCCAAACTGCTTGAGCGCCAGATGTTTGGTGGGGGTGAAGAATCAACAGATTTTGCAAATCGATCTAAACTCTGTGTGTTCCCCTTCTTGAACGCTTCCTGGTTGGTCTCCACTCCTTTAAACAAAGCCCTCGCAGACCTACACCTTCATCGAGTTCTTTGCAGGAAAGGCCTGGGTCTCGACGTGCATGAAGGCTGATGGCCATACCGTGGCCTCTTTCGACGTGCTGTACGGGGATCCCAAGCCCATGAAACAAGATGTTATGAATTTACTTACACCAAGTGGATTCGCGTGCCTGGGTCACAAGGGATGGGATACGACTTGGGAGTCGGAAAAAAAGGCTGGTGTTTCAATAGTTTGGTTCAGTCATATCAACCATACTTACCATGTAGTGTACACATGGTTCCAAACTTTTCCTGGAGAATGGACTTCATTAAAGAACCCAGAAAAGCCAACAGTACTAAAAGCACTGAACATGTAATTTTTTGGGGTGGCCTTTTTTAGCGCCAAAACCTTTACCCAAGCGGTCAAAAAAGGCCACCCTTCGAGGGGTGATGAACGTCTCTGAGGACCTTAGCATTTGGTATATGGCTAAAGATTGGGCATGGCCCCCTGATCACATATCGAAATCGGATATGGTTAAGTTGAGATACTAGAGACTATATATTCCGTGCTGGATAATAGCTATTCCATGCTATTCCGAGTATTTGCGCTACTTAGCCACTTAGCTGCTTCATCACGGAAAAGTTCAGCAAATCACAAACCAACAAAGCTCAAAAGGCCTTTAACATGGTGTTGGAGGTCTTCATCATTTTGCTCAACCGGCTTCGCTTGTTCATGTGTACGTATGCGTGACCGTCCCACGCATGGCTGGACCCTCCCAGGTTGGCCGCTTTGGCAATCCTCAACTGCAAAATGGATGGCTTTGTCAGCTTCCTTGGTCTTCTTTGCAGCAGCTATGTCACTGTGAATGCCGGCACACATGGGCGGACACCTTTCCATCCTCTGGGAAACTCACACTACCCCAGCGTGCAGTTGTCAAATGCCCTTACTTCTCGGACCCTTCGATTTGAAAAACCTTTGGGGTGCAAAATAGGGATTGATTCAAGATCTCGCCTTCCCTGCCAATCAGTCTTTATGCATGGGTTTGTATTTTCATGTGGGCAGAAAGCAGAATTCCCAATGTTTAGATGTGTTGATGCTTTCAAAGCATGTTGCCCAATGCCAGCACTTCCCTTCCAGGGCTCCTTGTCTGGTCAGAAGCCTGCCCGGACCCAGGACCTGCCTCTTGATCTATTTGATCACTGCGATGGGCGGCGTATGGATTCTCGAGCAACCCAGAAGCTCCTTAGTGAGTTGGCATCCACGGATCAGGCTTTTATGGAAATCCATCCCGAAGGCTCCAAAGTCCAAACCAATTTTGTGGACTAATGCATGGGAACATATGCTTCTGAGATCTTTCATGAACAACCATTATTTTGGTTCATATTATGTTGTCCCCTTCATGGTCATCCTTGGCAGGTATGGCAGGCGGCGTGGTGGGCCGCTCACTACTGAGCACCCACCCCCAAAAGACATATCTGCTGGGCAAACAGCCCAGCAATTGTACACTTCGACATGGGCACTCTATCCCGAGTTCTTCAGAAGGAGTTGGCCAAGAAGAACAACCACGCAAAACCAACGGAGACGTACTCATCTGGTGGGAAGAAAAGGTTCAAAGGAACTAAACATCTACGAGCGACAGGGCCCCTACCTCAATTGTCTAGAAATCAAACAGTCACCGATTCTCCACTCGGACCCAACATGGCATGCTATTTGTTCGTTCTCGAGCTTAGGAACTATACGCCCATGTTTGGAGTGCGTGTGACGAGGCTGCACTCCAGGTTTCTCTCCACTCGTGCTCCGCTCCCGCCCATATCGCAGGATGTGCTGGATCTACCAGTCAAACCTTTTTTTGCCCACTTGCCGTGGGTGGATCTTTGGGAAGATGGAAAGATACGGGAAGTCATCTTCTACTTGAGGGGTTGTGAAACCCTGAATCTTGGAGACTGGAAAGATTGTTTTCCAGCAAAGCTTTAATTGATAACAATTTAGCGCCCGTTCTGCACAAAGCATGGCGTGGACTACCAACGCCAGAAAGAGCCTTGGAAAAGGTTGCCAATATGTTGTGCGAGGGTTGAGTTGAAGGGGTGTGGGAGAACTTTGGGCTGCTCTCCTGGTCCACAGCACTGAGGGTGTAAATTCCCAGTTCAGCCATGGCCCTTTAGAGGAAATTAAACAAAAATACATCTCACTCAAGCAACTTTTATAGACTTCATCATTTTGGTCAACCGGCTTCACGTAATTATCACGTAAATACGTATTTCTTACGTATTTGTTATGTAAAAATTATGTGGGTCAAAATGAGACACGTAACAGATGCGTAAAAACACATAAAAACGACGTAAAAACGCGTAAAAATATATGTAAAAAACACGTAATCTGGACTGTTTCTGCATATCTCCAATTTGGGGTCCCTCTGGTGCAAATTGACCATTGTCAAAGGATTTAATTCTAGAGTTTAAACTCACACCCATCCTTTGAGGCACCCGGCTCAATCAGCTAGTTCTCTTGCCCACCTGCCCGGTACATGAAGCCGGCCCGAACGCTCAAAAGCAACGCTTGGAGCTGCAGTGAGTTGAAAGAAGGGAACTCTAAGCTCATGAAGGTTAAGAAGGAAGCCGTTCCAGATGAGCTACAAAAAGAAATCGAGGATAGGTTTCTCACTGAACACTCGGCAACATGCCCCCTTAGTATACTTTGACGGGTTGTTGATATGCAGCATGTTTAGAATGTTTGCAGGAGTCCACCAAAGCTTTGGAGGCTTTGAAGAAAAAGGCTGCATCCAAGAAAGCCCAGTATGTTTCTTGGTCGTGCACATGTTTTTTGATGTGCACACATGCCATGTTTCACTAGATGCGCGTGCATACACTCAGGCTGATGACACTGAGGACACGGTGCCTGCAACTCAAGCTGCACACCATGCACACATTGTTGTTGCACAAAATATCGCGATTGTGTGAAAGCTATTCACATCCAAGGCAACAGAAGAGGAGTTGAGGGAAGCAAAAAAAAAGAGAGCAACAGCTGCCAAAGCCAAGCCTCAGCCAAAAGAGAGCGACACCCACGAGGACAACACACAAACAAATGCAGAAAAGGACACAGCAAAGGCAAAAAAGGAACCAAAGGCAGCCGCAAAAAGCAAACCCAAAGCACGCCCAAAAGCGAAGTCTGCCCCTGAAAAGGCTGAAAAGCGAGCCACTGAACCGCCTGTTGAGCAACCTAGCAAAAGGGTTCGTGGGAAATCCGCAGACGTTGATGCCTTGAAAAAGGCCTGCCAAGCATGTCTTGCTAGCTGCTTTACTTGTTTAAATGCCTACACAGTTGTTTGGATGACAGTAACTTTGCTTTTGCATTTCCAGCCAGGAAAATGAAGCCATGAGGAAGGAGCTTGACAAGTTGAAAGCAAACAAGAGTGCCAATGAACTGCAAACACCGCCTCCAAAGCTCAAGGCGCCAACCCCGAAGTCCAGTGCATCCAAGGCAACCCAGCCCAAACAGAAAGCCAAGCAAGCAGAAGCCAAGGATTCAAACAAGAAAGCCAAACAGCCAAAGCAAACATCTGAGCACAGCGATGACAATGATGATGGTGATGATGACAACAGTGCCGACGAGGAAGAGCTCTTTGGTAGTTTATTTGATTGCGATGATGATGATGGTACTGCACATGGGTCTGGTGAGTCTGATGATGACAGTGCCAACGGTGAGGAGCCAAACAAGGATGCAAGTGAGGAGGAGGAGGAGGAGGAGGATGAGGAGCAGGATGGAAAGAAACGAAAGAAAGCGCAACCAAAAGGTAAAGCAAAGGCAAAGGCAAAGGTTTCTAGAGGTGGCAGGATTGAAAAACAGGATGATGACAAAATGTCGGAGGCCGCCCAGGAGGCTAGGCTACGCAGACTTTGTCAGAAACGTGCCCACGGACGCTGCCACGTCCCTGATGCGATCCATGAGCAGTGGAAAGCCGGGGGTGCGGGTCGTGACGAGCTTTTGGAAATGCTCCGAACAAGCGGATTTGACAAGGACAGTTGTTTTTGTGTTGTTTTTATAATGTTTCTCTAGGATGTTACTCCTTACCACCGCTTGACCTTAAAAATTCATGGATACATGTGCACCTCCAAAGCGTTGCTGTGGGGTATCCCCCCAAAATGTGGGAATGCGCATGCTAGGATTCCTTTCTTCGGACGGTCAGCAAGATCAAAGAGAAGATCTCGCAGCGGAGTTCGATTAAGAAACGTGGGTGGTATACAAAAGAAGGTATGAAGACCAAATTGGGTTGGAGCGCGCCACTCTACAGCTATTGGGTTGACTGTTGTTGTATGCTCAAACCCCTTTTCCTAAAGTCTGTGGGACCTTCTAATATTGAGGTCATACATCAAGGATGTTGTCAAGTACTGTGAGGAGCCAGGCCGTGAACACCTGTGGAAGAAACCTTTCCGCAACATAAGTCTAGACATTCCAACAATTCTAGGTCAAGGGGGTAGACTGATACAAGTTTCAAGCATCCCTGTTTTCATGTTTAAAAGCTTCTGTTCTGGGCCTCGGTATAAATATAACTGAGGAAAGACAAGTATAACCCAAAGCTGCGCAAATACTACGTTGAGTACGAAGATGAAGATGCAAGTGGTGATGAACACCGAGAGATTGAGCGTGAAGAGACACAAACGGCTAGAGTCCCAGTGTCTTTTACCATTTTCCTGACCTCCTGACCCGGCCACTCCCGGCCTAGGCTGACAACAAGAAGGTCAAGTTCGGGCGCCTTGGCAAGGGTCGCGAAACAAAGTCTCGGCCACAGATCGCAGAGACTGAGAGTGAGAAGGAGGATGACAAAGAAAAGAAGGCACTACAAGCCAATGGGGGTGCAGAGGACTAATTTGTAAAGGGTTTGAAGCAACCATGATTCACTCAGTGAATCAGATTCTTTTGTATGCCAAAAATCCCGGTTCATATGTATTATGGGGAGTCCTTCATGCATTGTCTCTTGTTTGGCTTTTTGCCTAGTCTTGGGTGGAGGGTCGACTACGTCAACCCTCAGGAGCTGCAGAAACTGAAGAAGTTTTCCGACGCTCTTCTTGCCAGAGCCGGTAAGCTTGAAGAGTTGATTTCTGACCTGGAGTCTGGTTTGGCAAAGAAACCTGACTTTTCAGGGAAAGATCGTCTCAGGAAGTCAGACTCTCAAATCTCACGCATGTACCAACACCTGCAAACGTGCAAAGCAACCACTTCAGTCTGTGTTCGGGCAGCCCGGCCCATTGATCGAGGTCTCTCGCCGCTTTGGAGGACGCAGTGGGCATCCTGAACAAGCAGTACGAGGACTCTGAGAGCACGAGGGCGGAATGCAGCCAGCTCAAAAAGAAGGACCTTCCTAAGGATACCTTGGATGAGCCAAAACCTTACTTGCATGCTGTTAGATGCTGAAAGGTGATGCTGTTTTGTATATCTCCATACGGAAAATATATAGCTTCTGTGGCCAGCTCTAGTTTTGAGGCTTATGGCAAAAGTTGACAAGCAAATCAAAGCCTCTACCAAAGAGTGCCCTGCTAGCAAGCATACATTAACATGCATGCGCCCAGCATGTGTCCCTCACCCTGCCTGGATTCAAGAACGAGGTGCTCCAAGGTGACCACTGCAGAGGCCAATGGAAAGAGCCTTGCAAGCATGACGCGGAATGCCTTCTTCAATCCCTGCCCTCCACCATTTGGTCCCTCCTAACACCTGATCTTCCATTAGGAACATCCTGAAAGCCTTCAAGAAGGAAGATTCGGGCTCGTGAGCTGTGAGCCACCTACGATGTGTGGTCAAGCATTTTGCTGGCCGCTCATGTTCTATAGTTTTCGGGGTTGTTGCGGTTGAATGGCAAAAACGCCAAAAACCCAAGTTTAGCAAATTCAGTCTGGCTCGTGGACTACCACGTGCCTGTGGGAGTCATCGTAAAGGCTTAGCATGTGCTGCGCACGTGATGCTGGTCGATGCAATCGAGGGATAAAGGTCAATGAGCTTGCCACTGTAACATGGCCAATCATCTCGACCTTTCATGTGTTCCCAAGTCCGTCCCTGTACCAAAACCCCACTCCCATAAAACCCAGTGAAACAACCGGCCCTGATCAATTGACGTTGAACCTTTGCCAGGTGACCGCACGAAAGATGACAAGAAGACCTGCAATGTCCTGCGGAACTGCGCACGCTTCATCGGAAATGGGGCCGGGAACCCCATCTATCAGAGGTGCATTCGTTCATGCAAACCTCACCTCTAGATCGCAGTGGTGAAGCTCTCAAGCTGCATATTTCATGTGCATGCATTAGTAGCGTCTGGCATATTTTCTATATCTAAAAGGAAACCACAAGCACACAAAGTTGGATATTCTGATGAGCCATGGCACTGGAAGAAGAGGATGACTTCCTCTTAGATCTCCTGACCTATGTGTGCCCCGTTAGTGGCAAAAAACGCACTGCTGGCAACTTTGACGTGAACCTGCCACACCCAAAAGTCAAATGCCCGAGTCTTGTTTGAAAGCAGTTTGTGAGGAATGGCAAAGAAGCTTTACTGTCGATGTATATACCTTGAACCGTTTGGAAACCAAGGAAGGTTGCAATGACTTGGGAGGACGAGAACCTGTACCAAGACTACTTTGATCGCGGTCTAGAATGCGCCAACCCTCCTGCTCCAAGATCTTGCCAGGTGCCCATCGCAGGTGAACCTTGGTCCAAGCTGTATGTCCAACCAATGTGTGTTTCGCATCTATTGAAATGGGTGACCAAGGACAAGCATGATCTCCCTCAACTATTCCAGAGTCTTGGGGAGGCGTTCAGCTATGATAGCTTTGATTGGGGCAAAGCAAGCTCGAATGGATTGTTTAACAAATGCATGCCGTGTGACAAGAAACATTTGCCCACGGCTGGGAGGATTCTTTCTCATGCAAAAAAAACAAGTAACAGCCCTCAGAGAAAAAATAGGGATCCGTATTTGCATCTTCAAAGTTGGTGTGACCAGCAATCCACCTGTTCGATTTGCCAACTACCTTGCAGAAGGCTTCACTACTATGTGGGTGGTTTCAAAGCATGAGTCTTTGAACCTAACACACATGCTGGAGGCAGCCTTAATTAGCGAATTCCACCAGCATGTGGGTTGCAGAAACCGTGCTGAATCAGGAGGGGATGGATCGATGCATCGGTTTCCCCCTCCATATTTCTGCTATGTTGTTGCTGGTCGCGCTGACCAGCCACGGTGGGTAGGATAACACGTGACCCCTAGGATGCCGGAGACAAAGTGGGTAAAAAGTGGTGTCTGTCTGTGTGCGTGCATGTTCTTTGCCATTGGGTTGCCATTGGAGTTTGCATGTTTCTTGTTTCTGCTGGCGCGCGGCCAAGGTCCCATGCTCCCATGTTGTTGAGATGGCGAAGGCGCAGGTGGAAAGCAATCCACACGCAAGCCCTGCGTTGAAAGAGTTTGCACGCATCCGGCCTGAAGATGCTGAGACGGCATGCCATGAGGTGTTGACCAAATATGGTTTTAGTGTGCCCATTCCAGTTGAGACTTTGAACATTGGACCTGGTCAATTGAAGGCCTGCCCTTTCGTTCGTCCTAGTGCATGGGCGACGTACTTACTCAACAAAGGCATTTTGCCGAGGCAGTTAGTGGGGGTGGCAGATCGTGCACAAATGGAGGAAACTTTGAGGGAACATTGGAAACGGTACCAGGTCCTCTTTCCAAACCATCCGATCTTCCGGCTAGCGCTGGAGGGGACTGTGCAGCTTCAGCGCTGCGTTCCAATTCTGTCGCATAGCGACGAAGGCAGATCGACGAAGCACCTACCGCTGTTCGTCATGAGTTTCCACGGAGCTTTGGGGCGGGGCACGCAGTTGTATGTGCAGAAGCAAAAGCATCTTGCACCGCTTCATCGACGACAATTTGGCCTCAATTTTCTTGGACAATCATGGGGAACACAATTTTTGTGCTTTGCCATTCTGAGAGAAATGGTTGATGATAACCCTGATGCTTTGAAAACGTTGATTCAACACTTTGCAAGGGACTTTCAGCAACTTGCAGAAGAAGGAATTGTGGGTGATGATGGGTACAGAGTCTGGCTGATCCACATATCGACGAAAGGTGATCTCCCTGCGCTCACCAAACTGTCGAACTCAGGCCGCTCATTTTGGCATGTTGCGAGGGCTGCGACATCCCGCAAGCCTTGTGATGGCATATGCCATTTGTGCAAAGCGGGTTCAGAGAAGCCTCCAACTCCGTATCCTTTCGAGGATTTTTCCCTGAGCCCCAAATGGGCCGCTACGCTATATGATATCCCCTGGGGTCAGTTGCCACCCATTTTGGAAGGAGTGCTAGTGCAACCTGGTTCTTTGCCCGCGTTCTTCAAAATAGACATCTGGCACACTTTTCATTTGGGCATAGCAAAACATTGGATTGCTTCTTCGTTCATCTCGTTGATTGAAAGACTGGACGATTTCCCAAGTCTTGACGGGGGGTCTGTGGATAGCAAGCTGGCCTGGATGGCCCAAGACTTTGCTAGTTTTTGCAAGCAGAACAGAATTTCACCTCATTCTAGGGAGATCTCCCGGCGTTCACTCTCCTTTCCTGCGAGTTCAGCCTGGCCAATAGCAACATGGAGCAAGGGTTCGATGGCAACACACCTGATGAAATATTTGGAGAATTTGTGTTCAAGATTTGTTGTGGGCAAAACGCAGGATGAGGTACTTTGTCGCATTGCCCCTCAGTGAATGCCAAGCTTACTTTTTGTCCTATAGAGTTGTGGAAGTCCTTCCTTTTTGTTGTGTGTTCTTTAGAAACTGAACATCATCGAATGCTTTGCTAATTTTTTGCTGTCAGGAAAGAGGGACCTACTTCATGAACACCGCCATCAGCTTCATGTACCGGTCAGGGTATTGGATCAGAGCTTCGTGTGGTCACAAGCTAGCGATGTGGCTTCTCTACTTTTTGCAATCTTATGGTACTTGCGCCAAAATCTGTTTGCGAGAAGGGAAGTGCCGCTTCAGCCTGATTCCGAAAACCCATTCCCTCCACCATGTGATTTGGGAACTTCAAGCCCAAGCAGAGAAAAATGTTTGGATTGAAAACCCTCTAGCGTTTTCAGTGCAAATGCAAGAGGACTACATCGGTCGTCCATCACGCCTATCAAGGCGTGTGTCCGCCAGACAAATGATTCGGCATGTTGTTGATAGATCTCTTGTATGTTCCATGCTCGCTTTAGAGGACACCAAAACGGATATGCGAGGACTTGTTTGAAGCAACCGCTATTTTCCATAGTCTACAGGCACATGGATAAAAAACAACCAAGGAATACACATGCTTTCAGCATATCCAGAGTGAAAGGCCTGCTCTCAAAGGGCACTAAGGCGCTGACCGATTCGCAGGATCTCTGGTCGCTTCTGCTAAAACAGGAGCCGTCACGGCAGCATGGGCTGCTTTGGCTTTGGGTGGGGGTGGATGGCTGGATTTGGATTCAGAAGCATTGTTTCTTTCACATCCCTGAGAAAACACCAAAACATGTGAAATGCATAAAAGGACGTAAAATATAGAAAGGTACGTAATTCTGTGAAAAGACCAATTTCTGAATCAAAATCTGGGTAGTACCTAAAACGGAGGGTCTTTGAGGACCCAGGTATATATATACCCTGGTGGCTGTCCTGTTCTCTCGTAAGCAATTTCTGGCACTGAGCAAGAGGTCCTTCAGGCCTGCGCACACTACAGGGAATGATAGTCGTGCCAACCACGATTTTGCTGCGGTCAGAAGAAATCAAGAGAAAGTGCAGGCATCTGGCATTTGAGAACAATACTCTGATAAGTGAAGACAAAAAAAATATCAAGAAGTCCGCAATCTCCTGAGAGTCCTCTGCTACCTGTCCACCTGAGCATCCCAGCCAAAGGAGTGTTGGAGTCTTTCTTCTTGCATTCAAACCTCGAGCAGCGAGGCATTGAACCCGATTTTTCTGTGGAAGTTCTTCGAGAAATGCGCGAAGCAGCGAAGCTTTTTTTTCCGCCGTGGCAAACGTCCAACGAATCGGGTTCTTGCCCATTCACTCCTTTTGAATGTACCTTCTACGACCATCCTGGAGTGAGAATACGAAAAGACATCCGAAAACATTTACCAAACAAGCTTCCTATATAAATATTGGTTCTTGGATGTGCTTGGATTTGCCCATATATGGTTTATCTGCTTTAGGATCTTTAGGATGGCTCAGTAATTTCTTTGTTCTGCGATTCTACACGAGTACTTCAAACCAAAATCGAATTTGGGATCATCTATGATCCATTTGCACCCTCGGCTTCAAACTGTTGCTCCCTGTCCGGACCGATCACATACTATCATGTTCTTTCGCAAAGAGGTCCATCACAGCTGTTCTTTGGCAAAAACAAAGCACTTCAACAGGCACAGCCGAGACAAGAACATCGTAGATCTGGTAGACCGTGGCTCAAGAGACTGGTAGACCGTGCTGTCACAAAAACCATCGAACTACACCTAGGAATCTCTGTCTGCTTGTGGAGCACTTCCACCGGTGACGGTGTTCTCAGCCGAGACGCACGCGGCCCGATGCGCCATGCCCGAGTTCTCCTTTCAGAGAGTAGGAGCCAAAGTCATTGGGCGGCGAAACCAAGGAGGAACGGCAGTCCATGGCTTCGCGGAACCATTACCGTCGACGTCTGCTGTGGGAACGTTTGGGAAAATCTCGGGGGATTTGCCCCAAAAGCACCAGCTCCCAATACAAACATGAAAGAAGGGCAGGCACAATATTCTTTGAAGACATTGGTGTGTGAAAGATTGGGTTCCGACCACAGGTGTGCTATGTTAGGACCGCTCAAGTGTTGGGCTCTACACGGTCTAACTACATGGTCTACATGGTGTAAAAACAAAATGAGGAAAAACAAATATGAAGCAGAAACTGAATGCCTTGTGTTGCGTGCTGCGACGAGTTGTTCGCTTGAAAGCTGGCGATCCGATGGCATATGGCGGCTATAGCATATGGCGTCGACTCAAATGGCGTCGACTCAAATGAGGTTCGTCGCACGAAACATATTTACAGGTGCTGTGTCTCAAACCTCGGCTCAACCCTGGCAACCCAGTGTCTTAGAATTTCGCGCATCGTGCCATTTGGGTTCTTGAGAGAGATCTTGAAAGTATCTTATAATTGATACTGACATAAATCTATACACTTTCCTGAACATGAATACGTCATAAACTTCGAACAAAAGCTGTTTCCTCCTGAGATCACAAGTCTTCAGGGTAGTTCCCAAACACATGGAGAAGGTCTCAACAACAAGTGGTTAGTATGGACAAAAGTGACATATATCATATATTCTGATCCAAACGAATTTTGGTTCTTGCATATTGTTGGCTATCAGAACCCCCAAAAAGTACCCCCTCCAGCCCGGGGGCACGCGAGGAACGGTTCAGGTGACCTGAAGGCGCCACAGCACACACAGTGGGGATGATTGTTTCTCTCACTAGTAGCTTCTTACTAGTAGCGATGCACTTGATTCCTAATAGCGATGCCCTTGATACTACTAGCTTCTTGCTACTAGTAGCAGTGTTGCTTTCGATTGTACCCTTCAATCTTGAGAGGTCAGTGATGAGATCAGTTGGATGTACCCTTTTCATGTACCGCCGCCGCCGCCCGAGAAATCCACATCTTTTCAGTTGGACAACCACCCATCCAGAGCATCCTCAACTGCCTTGTCAAGACTGTACATAACATATAGAGCAAGGTCTGAGGTCCAAGCCCGTCCAACCTGCTGGACCCATGACCTAAGCAGGTCTGGCAGTTGCAGTTGAGGGATCACTAGTATCGGCTCCTCGTCGGCCAAAGACGAAAGGACGAAGGGAAAGAAAGGACCGATTGGGCGTGCAAGCTCCTTTTCGAACTCGGCCAATCGATGAGCTCAGTAGGGGCTTGCACGCCCTGCAGCAACTGGACGAACCGCACCGTAAACCTCAGTCTCACACAAAAAAAGAGGCCAGCAAATGGTGGGTGAGTCCGCAGTTTCGCAGGCAAAAAGCTTGTGTTTACATACTTCACAAACTGAACGACGAAGCCGTTGCATCCAAACAGATTTTGAATTGGGAATCCACAGCAAAGGAAACCAAGAATGCTGCCCTCATCTTCATTGGCAAGAGTCTGCCCCTCAAGAAGCCAAGGTCATGGTAGCTTTTCTGGCCAAGCTGCAGTGGGTTCCAGGCCAAAGTTGGCACCTGTCAAGAAACAGCTGGCTGCCACGGTGACCCTTTCCTGTCAGGATAAGTCCCCTGCTTTCGGTTTCAAGTTTTGGACTAGTGCAATAGCAATGTGGTGCTGGGATATTGGCACGAAAAGGTCGAAAGATTGACTTTACATGAAGTCCCTCTCATTATCCCGCTGAAATCATGCAATGCACTTCTGAACAATGAGTTAGACCCCAGGCTTTCAACTATACATCGACAGGTTTTTCTTGGGAGCTGACACTTGGGCAGGGAAATCGTGATCTCAGCACGGGCCATTGACAGAGCTGAGACTGTGGGCCTGGACCTGGAGTTCACCCCCTGTTCGTAGAGCCTCTGCCATCCACGTGACCATGGGACAGTGGGTGGGAGTGTCAATTCACAACTTGACCCAGAGGCGGGAATTCCTATAGCTCCTCTTGATTGAGTGATATTGAGCGAATGGTTTATCAGCAACAGAGAGCTAAGTCTAAGTCAACTACTGATATCTTCACTAATTACAAGGGCTTTTCTTCTTATTAAAATAGGGAGACTCTGCAGTTCGACTCCCTGGGTGACCAGTCCACCCAGCCAACCCCCCCTCGAGGACTCGGGGGTACATCCTTAGACCGATACCGCCGAGACCCATACCCTCAACTCGCCGGAGATCGCGGTGCTCATTCGTCTTGCTATGCAAAAGAAGGCATAGTGAAACACCCGCAAATGAAGGATAAGTGTAAAAGCTTAAACCGGGTCTCGTTGACTAAAAAAAATCATTAAACTTTGGGGTTATATAAATGTCTTGATCTAACATCCTGGTGTATTGTTGGTGAAAACCCCAAATCTTAACCCTAGATGTTCTCCAGCCCATCCGACAGGGGTCCATCTCGCTGCGGTGCCTTCGAGATCACCTCCAGCTTCTGCCCAGGCACAAATGCAGCCATCCTGGCGGGAGGCCATCGCTAGTAAGTTGGAGGCCATCGCTCTTAGGTTGGAAAAGGAACCGTTCATGAAGCTGAAGTTGACTGGAGTCAGGAGTTCAGAGTCCGAGTCTGGAGTCTGAAGAGATGATGACTAGACACAGTCATGAGTCTGGAGTCTTGAGTTGTTGAACAGAAAGTGGGATAGTCTAACAATGTCTAAGCTGGCCAAGAAACACTCACACAACCCCTATATCTTCCCACACGCTGAAACAAACAGGTTTTGTGTAAAGGAAACTGGACGACCGGTTTTCTCTTCCCATTGCAGCACTCCTGGGAGTTCGGAAGGTCTTCCCCCGCCTCCCCTGCCGTCAGCACGCGTCCGCCGGGTAAGCACAGCGCAGACCGCACGATGCCGCTATGGCCTGCTGTGGAGCGGAGCGGACAACGTCTTCTGAAACATCTTGGATGGTCCAAGCATCCATCTAGGTGTCTTTTGGACAAACCTGACAGGTTCCATTCCATCAGAAACCACCGGACTGCGACCCTATAGTGCAAAACATGCGACCGTCCGATCGCCACCCAAGCGCCGTCCGATCTGATCGGGTTTCCAAGGTCCAAGTACCGAGAACCACGAAGGATGTCCAGCTGGAGGAGTGCTCCAGGAATCATACCAAGATGAGGCATTTTAGTACTTTGGAACCTCAGAAAAGCCGGGCAATACATAACAGTTACTATATATATACATGTATATACATGTATTATATATATTACAGTAATCATTAAATATCATTCAAACTGTATCCTTATCCTTTCTGAAACTAACATTTAAAAAGAACATAGTCCCGACCTGGCAGAGGTCCAAAACTTCGTCACAGGGGTTATTTTAGTTTCGGAGTGTGCAAGTCTTGGTGCTTGACCTGAACACATAAAACCAGCAAAACATGTCCGACACTGCCTGGATTGCCACCTCCAGAGCTGAAGACCGCGGCTGGCACGGCCTCCGCCAGCGTCACCCGGAAGAGCAGCAAATCTCCGGCGGTGCCAGCACCTGGCGCGGGAGATTTGACGCAAATTCCAGGATCTGGAGATTTCCGAGATCAAAGCCGTCTTAGGGCGGCAGAACTGCACACAAATGGTCAAATCAATTAGAATCCGCTCTGATACATCCCAAAGCAAAGAAACCATGGACCATGTTGATCATCATATATACTACCATGGTTGCCACGAGAATCAATGTCTGCTTGGTCCACCTTCGGAGCAACGCTCCGCAGAGTGTCGTTTTGCTTCGAAGAAACGACCCAAAATCCACTCCAAAGATCCCCCGTGAGACCCATCTTCCGCCCCACGAGACTCTCGCAGGACTCATCCGAGAGAGGGATGCGGCAACGCCGGACTCGCTCGACTCTCGATGCGTGATGGTGTGATGGTGTCATGTCTTCCGCACGAGACTTGGGGCCTGCCAAAAGGAAGACTTCGGCAGAGGGCTGATCGTAGAAGGTCTCTACCACGTAGCCAAAGCTGAAGTCCTTGCCGTGAACAGAGTGAAGAACAAAAAAACAGTGTTCAACGGCCGCGGTGATTTCAGCTCTCGACCAAAACAAACTGCCTGTGCTTGGAAAACGGAGTGTCTCTTGAGCAATTGCAAAGGAAGCAGTCACCAGCAATGTTGACTCTTCTTGACCGAAAAGGTCCGACTCTGGCCCTTCCAACATCCGTTCCGCAGGCTCCTCATCCTCATTTCGCATCAACCTTATATAGCTGCCGGAGGTGGCCATCAATACAAATCAATTACAATGAAAGGACGAAACCAGAGTATGATTCACCTCAGTGCGGTCTCACACGCTTAAAATATCTTAAAATCAATCTCAAAGATGTGGGTGCGGTCTCGCGCGCAAACCACTTGGGGGGCTCCAGGGATTGACTGCCGACCTGGAGTACAGGATAGTACAGACAGGTTACAGGAGCTGCTTATGATGCATAGAAACATCAGGGTTTTCACATGAAAGTGGGCAGTTTAGTGCAGCTTAGCTTCAATGGATGACTCCTGCAGTCAGATCCAAGTTCGGCTGGGATGGAGGAAGGCCGTCTAATGCCAGAAACCACATCAGGCGGAGTCCCATATCAAAGATCTTACCTTGTCGATCAAATTGTGTGAGTTGTCTGGATCCGTATCACGCCTATCATTTTACATCTGCTTGACTTACAAACACAGAAAGAACTGAACCAATGCGGGTGCTAGAGCTTCAATTTGAATGCTTTGAACTGTAAGTTCATTCAAATGCCAACAAGAAATGGCATACTGCAACAAAAGCCAGCTACCATAGACCGAGTATAGACCGACCATAGACCAGCAGTTGAAAAAAATGGACCGACCGTGGACCAAGCTCTCAACTCGCTTCCTCGAAAATAATCAACTTTTCTCGCACCTGACTGGGTAGACTGGTCTATTTTGTGAACGAACCCAGGGGGTCGGAACGCATGGGATGTCTCCTAGTTCATTCAAACTATCAATACACCCACACCATCCCACCCCTCACCCTGCGCTGCTCCTGAGGTTGGTGAACTGCGCTCGCAAAGTTCCAAAGTCCCCGGGGCCCAGCTGCCAAATGCGCACATCCTGCACCATCCCCCGTGCCGCGGCTGCCAAGAACGAGAGTGGAGAGGTTCTCAAAGAATCCAGTTGCTACCTATCAGAAGGTGAGATATATATATATATACCCACAACCATCCAGGCCACAAGCTAGCAACTACTGCATGCATTCATGCATGCAGATATCAGAAGCTACACCACGGTACCTGGAACCCTCCTTGGATGCACATCAGGCAGAACGCGACATACCAGTACCGGACCAAAAAACAGGTGAAAGGTCTCTAAAAGAGCTCTGTCTCTCTCTCCTCCGTGGTGGAGCAGCAGCACAAGGTGTTTCGATCCGGGCCCACCAAGGTGAAGGATCTCAGAAGTTCCAAGAGCTGGAAGGCCAAGCTTTCACATGGTGGACCAGGGGTCCAGGTTGAACGACCCATCCCCGACATGAATTCGGGCCTTTCATTGCTTGTCTTCCCTTTCTGTTTTAATTTCTACTGGACAGCTTTGTAACGCAATGGCGTGCACCAACTAAAACCGCTTCCATGTCATCGAAAGGGCTCCTTTGAAACTGAACCACAGGATCCCCGGCCAATCTTGTGAAACATCACCAGGGACCAGCTTCGCAGCTGGTCCAAAATTCTGGCATGGTATCCCTTTCAGGAAGGGTCCCGTATCGATTCGGAACCGGAACCGAAAGGTGGCGAAGGTCCAGAACCGAAATTGTTCATGAACCGAATGTAAGCAACGATCAATGTTCCAAACACAACCGAACCGAAAGAAAAACGAACCGTTCAGCCCTGTTCCGAGGTCAAATCAGCAAAGCGCTTTGTGATGTTTTTCTCAGACTGTCCAAGGTCTTGGAGTTTCAGAGCAGCAGTCCCCCAGTGGAATGCCCATACAGCATCTCACTGGCGCGGCCCGGTTTCAGGCACATTCACAAATTGATGTCATTTCCTTTCCTTGTACTGTTCCTTTCCATTTCTTTGCTTTCCTCTCCAATATGCGTTTTAGACTGCCTGGAAAAAGCATATTCACAAATTGCATTCCTTCCCTTTCCATTTCCATTTCCTTTTTTTCCTTTGCTTTCCCTTCCTTGTCCTTTCCTTTCCTTTTCCTTGTCCTGTTGCTTTCCTTTTCTCGGCTTTCCTTTCCAATGTTGATCCCTCGCAGCATGTGTGTTTTGAATGGTGTTTAACTAAAGTCTCTGAGTTGCAGCTTGATGGACGAGAGGCCGCACGCACTCGTCGTTGGGTATCACACCAAGCCTTGCACGGTAGGGCTGTTTGACACTCGTGTTCGGTAAATCAAGCAGGCCAAAGAGGAATTGGTCAATACATCTTGCAAAACTGAATCCAAACTGGATCTATAAGCTTTTGGATGCTTTTGGAAGTTCTTGAAGATGATTCCCAGCTTTGGAAGGTCTTGAAGATGATTCAAGTCTCAAGTCATTTGCGGCACGTGGACACCCATGCAATGCAACTCACTTCAGGTCTTCTACAAGATATCATGCTGTAGCCCTTAACTTATGATACTTAAACAATCTTGAATATTAAACATACAAAAACATACTATGTTCCATGTTCCGATGTTCAGTCCTGTTCATCTACTTTGGAATATGCACCCAACTTACTGCCAAAAGACGCACCCAAACAGCGCACACATCACAAGGCTCAAGCAAGGCTTCATCTTCTCGAGACTTTTCAGTATCGAGGACGACCACCAAGTTGTCCTTGCAAGAGCAGCCAATTGATGGGCTGCAAAATGAGAAACACCACCCGAAGCAGGGGACTCCCGCATTCTGTGGAGCTCTGTGGGCGCAAAAGAGTGCGTCACAGCACTGTTCTTCGCAGAGAGGAGTGACTGGCACATCTCATTCCACAAAGTTTTGACCCCTAGAACTCCACTGAACACCGCTGAATGGGTCTGTCTATGTCTATCTTAGATTAGGAACGAGGCAGCACCAGATCAGGCTTGTTGGCAGGAAACGGAGGATGCCAATCAGTTGGTTCGGCCTAGCATGCCTTGCCAGAAACTGACCCGGCATGGCCTGCTAAGAAAACCCGACCAGCCAATTTGCCGGTTCCCCTATTCCAATTCATGCGGCCAGAAGCTGGCAAAAGAAGATCGACGCCTATGGCCATTTCTGCATTGCTTTGTTTGGGAGCCCGTTCCTGGCCGCTGTTTAGCAAAAGCTGTCGCTGTTCTCCCAGACCTCTGCTCCCGAAAGTAGCTTGCCATCAGGGTGAAAGCGCACATGATTCACCACGTCAGTGTGGCTCTCCTGCAAACATGGTGCATCAGTGTGGCGCACGCAGGGCCTCTCTCGAGATGGAGGCGTCAAAATGAGGTCCCAGTGCGGCTGTCAACTTCTATTACTTCTCCCGTGTGAGGGGGGGGCGGGCTCTTCTTCGAAACCGCCCATCTCCAAGACTGGTTCCTACATCACATTGTCTGCTCCACGCGTGGTAGAAACCAGCAGTTCTAGTGATTCTAGTGGACTCCCTGAATGTCAATTTAGTCTTGAGTTAGTTTTGTGAATACCCCAGGTCTTTTTGGGTTGCTTCCTTTCCACAGCAGCGTCCATCCCAAGACTCCAGTTCTAAAAAGTTGATCCCAGTCTCGCAGACTTCATGTCCGGCCACTTTCGCCATCGTGCATCACAAAGGAAAAACATGTCCCCAACTGCTTTTGTGGGTCTTTATCCTGATGATGTACCACTCAAAGCCAATGAACCTCCATGACAGTCTTTGACGAGAAGAACTTCCCCATACTTCCCCAACTCCTTCTAGTCTAAACATGTCTAAACATGTCCAAACTAAACCCATGCCAGGCCCACACGTTGCTGATGTGTCCAGCCCTTCCACTTCAAACATGGGCACTTGCAATCGCTGCGCTGTTCGGTGTCGCATCACTGTGAGTCCTTAAAGACTCTGACTTGCTTCCCCTGCGCGACGTCAAAGAGGTGAACCTTGGCTCGAGAAGTCAAGCGGGAGAGACTTTTCATGTGCAGGAAGTACCGGAGCTCCTCTGGCAAGTGGGATGGATGTGTGGAATCTGGACAGCCACGCCTTGTGGGAGGCCGCGCAAGCCAGCAGTGAGTCCTTCTGACCCAAACAGCAGCTGTAGACCTGGAGACAAGTCCCCAAAAGTCAACGGATAATACTTTAACTTTGGATATATCACTTAGACTTAGAATCAGGTCAGGTCTCATCCTGGCTACGTACATGGTGGACAACTTGGAGTATGGCGTCGATGGCCGGACAGCACCGAAGAAACTTGGTGTGCCGCGACTGCGTACGAAGCTCACGTACAAACGCCGCGAACCGAGTTCTTGGAGGGTTCCAAGCGCAACGCCGCGAGTGACGCACTGTTTCGGCCTCGGCCTGTGGCCACGAGTGACTCCCTGCTCACGAGTGACGCAAGCAGGAGCAGGTTATGCACATGGATTCCGATCTTCAAGTTGAGAAATCAAAGGAGATTGGATTTGAGATGGTTTGGGGCTTTTTGTGGATGCTCTTGCATGAACCAGTGCCGTGTCGGCTTCCCAGTCAGCGCGTTAGTTTGTGCCACTGTGGCATAGCTTTGGGCTTCCAGAAACAAACTTCCCAATCACCTTCCAATCAGGCTTTGAACACGGAAGATCGTGACTCCTCACAAACTGATGCTAGCCAACGCACAGGAGCGAGCTCTGTGCCCGACTTTGGGGCAGAAATCGCTGAACGCACTGCAGAAATCGGGAGCCCAGATTGGATCAGAGGCTACTCCCTCTTTAAGATCTGTTGTATCGTCTAGCAGTCTCAATCCAATCGACGAGACAGGCCGTGCGGCCCCCGAAATCGTGTCGCCGTGCCGGTGTTCGGCCGGTTTGCAGCCGTTAAGGCCGTTAAGGCGGGCGGCTTCGTCTTCTCTCAGATCTCGTTCTCCAAGGAGAAGGCCATGTCCAAAAGCTGTCGCACCTGGTCTTTCAGAAATCGGTCTTTCCAAAAATTCACCACTGAAACCCTCGATTTCAAGTGAAGAAAAGGCGCAAACCGTCAATGCCAAACATGCGGAGGCGTGCTGGGTGTGGGATTCAGGAAGCGGCTGTTCGAATGGGTTTGAGAGGGTACAGTATGACTCAAATGGACAAACCCCATGAAAGTGTTCTTTCTACTCCGGTTCTTCCTAGGCTCGTCTTTAACAACCCAAATCCAATGGGAAGCCTCTGCATCTTCTTTTGTTCTCCGCTTGCTCACTCTCCAGTGGAAAGCTCCGAGACCAGATGCAGACTGCATGTGAAACAAAGTGAGACATCAGTCAACACAGTAACAACAACAAAAAGGCCTAAGGGAAGGCCGTGTTAATAGAACGTATGATCAGAACCTAAAATGATGGTGATGCTTGCTCAAATCTCAAGCCCCTCTCAACAGAGGTACCCCCCTTTCGTGTACCACTGCGTGGCGTCCGGCTCTACGGTCGTCGAAGGCTCGTCCGGCCGCAGCTCACCGCCACTCTTCTTCCTCTTCGGAGGTCGTCCGCGGGTCAACGGACCAACCTGCCAGAACGACGCAGTCGGACCTCTGCGGTCTTTATATTATATATTAAACATCATAATAATTACTGTATATCGATATAAAAAGAGAGAGAGAAGGTGGACTCTTGAGAACTCTTGACTAGCAAAACCTCTGTATGAAAAGGTTTAACAATTCAATTGGTGGGGCGTCACTAATCAAGAGGTTGGACATTGGGCACATCGAAAAGGCTGTGAACATCTGCGCTTCCCAGTGACCCTTCCCAGTGACCCTTTCTTAATCCATTTTCACAAAAGGCTCCGTGTACGGACCTTGAAAACGATCTATTTACAATCACCTACTTGCCCGTAGGGGCTGAAGTGGCGGTGGTAATTGTGGCATCTCCCTGTTGCAAGGATGGCCATTGGGCGTTGAAGCGCCCCTCTTTGTCTAAGCGCTCAAAGCCATGTCTTCCGAAGACATCCCGCTGCAGCGACACGCACTGTGCTGAGGGGATTTCTGGGAGGTACATGGTCTGAATGTAGTCCAAAGAAGCCAAAAGACATGGGACGGTCACGGAGGTTTCTCTAGTGACCTGGCTCACCAAACGCTTGTAGCGTGGTAGATACTCTTTGATTTCGGGTCCAAAAGCTGTGAGTAGATTCTCCAAGCTTGGATTGTCTTCAAAGGCTTTGGTCATGGGTTCCAACAAGAAACCCTGCAAAATGCAACCTGCTCTGAAGGTGGCAATGGTGGCAGGGAGATTCAACCCGAACTCAAACTTCTCATCCATCTTTCGGAGGCATTGGAACATCTGCGCGTAGGAGGCGATGATGGCAAAGGCCGCCGCCCAAAAGAGATCTTCCTCCATTTCTGCAGTCCATGAGCCTGTCTGAGCACTTGGAAGCTTCACAGCAGCTGAGTTGGCTAACCGCTCCGCACGGAGCATTGACATCTGCCGTGCCAGCACGGCTGCAACTAAGGAGGGAGCCGGAACAGCGGCCTCCAAAGCCTCCACCACACTCCAAAGGCCGGTGCCCTTCGAGTCAGTCTTGTCCATGGTTCTTGAGATGAGGAGGGAGCCGTCGTTGCTACCACCGGCACTCTCACTGTCCTTGATTTTCACCACCTCCACGGTGATGTCAAGCATGTATGAAGCCAAAAGCCCTTCGTATCGGCCGCCTTTCCTAGTCTTCCAAGATTCCAGCAGCTTGGCTTGTGAATCCCCACTGACGCCATATGCTTTGAGCACCTCGTGCACTTCACCCCAAATCTGTAAGACGGCATACTCCCCAGCGTTGTGATACATCTTTACACATGAGCCGGCTCCACCCTTGCCATTCATAGTGGCACAGGGCCGCCCATCTGTGGCCTTTGCTGCTGCTGCCTCTACAATGTGCTTTACATCGTTCCAAACGCTCAAGGTGCCTCCAACAGGGTCAGGCCATCCTCGTGTTTAGATCTCTTTGAACACAAGTTGGATCCTTAACAAGCAATCTCCCAAGTGCTTCCTCCACCACACAGAGGTCTCCCTTTTGAAACCCCTCCCAACCAGAGCCCTGGTTCCGGATGCGCCTCCAGGGAAGAAGGCCGGCCCCTTGCGAGCTCCTTCCGCACCACCACTCACTCCCATGCCCAAAAAGCGAAGGCCTCGAGCCTCCAAGGACTCGGCGCGTCGAATCTGATCCCGGAAGTTGGCATTGCCCACATCCTCGACGGGACGCGGGACGAGTTTGTAGGCCATGAAACCAAAACAAGAGAGTAACAGTACGTAACAAAATATCCAATATTGTATATATATATATGTATCTATATCAACGTTTACCATTGATATATATATATATATTTATTCAGAATCAGAAAGAAAACAAATCATGACCTATATTTGTGAGATTCTTGACCAGCCAGGGACTGGAAATCATTGATTCTTTGTTTGTCATGTAGGTCCTACATCTTGCTGAAAAAGATCAAAAAAAACATCAAATCATCTCCTGCCCCCCTTTCTAGTCGCTAGACTAAACCGTCGTCCCAGCATCAATGATGATGTCGCCTTTCTCGAAGAGTCCGGCTAAGTCCTCAATCACCGCATCAGTGGCTTTGCCCGCCGGGACCAGTATGATCGCCTTCCGCGGGGCTTTCAGGGACCCGACGAAGTCCTTCAGCTTCTCCTGTCCTCCAAAACCTCGGACCCACTGGGCGCGGAGTCGAAGAACGGGGGTGGAAAAGCTGAGCATTCGGTGGGTTCGAAGGGTGTTAACCGTTATGCAAGACGAAAAGACCATGGTCCCATGTTTCATTGAAGTTGCACCAACTTCGGACTCGAAGTAGAAAACGTGTGCATTGCTGTTATCTACCGGAAGAGATGGTTTCGATCTTTGAGAGCAAACACAACGGGATTTTTGTCCAAAGGCGTTTGCTCACATCGTTCCCTTCTCAAGCCACTTTCCCAAGCCCTCTTTGGTGCGTCGGTGTGTCGTAACAAAGTGCCCCCCTTGGGATCCACAGACCGACGCAAAGAAAGGTCATCGGACCCTCAAACCATACCCAACCCAAACATCCCCAACTACTTTCTGAGAGGGTATGTCTATCTATTTGGTAGGGAAAAAGCATGAAAAGAGACTCAAACTGTGGAGAAAGAAACCATGCAAATTGCTATAGCTGGAGTTGGTGGCCAAAACCGACTGCACCTGTTCAGCGTTCAGGTCGTAGAGTGACACATGGAACGGCTGCCCATTGTAACCTGAGTGGAGGAAGGACTGCAGGGGTTAGAACCCAATCAAGGGGGTTCTACCACCAGGTGTCCTTACCAGTGTTTCCAAAAAGTCCTGCACCACGTCCACAAAAAGATCACCAAAGCAAGTATGGGTGATGCTAAACACATGCAAGCACATGTATATATGTTAATTAAAAACAAACAAACAAAGGAAGACCACTTGGCTGCGTATGTCTCAAGCAAGCAACTCTTGTCTGCGATGTTGAGGCCCAGGTTCGAGCCCATGACCCCACTGCCAATGATCCCAATATCCGACACCTGAGCGGGTTGATAGATTATAATTACTAGCTAGCGGCAAGTCCTATTGATTTACTGGGCTGGGTTTGGTTTCCAAATAGATCGAGAGAAAAGACTGTAGGTTTGGGCCATAGAACGATCCAAGCCGCTTCCGGCGTCCAAGTCTGAACTACATTATCTTCTCTAGCACAACACATATACACATCGTGTTCCCACCACCCAGCAGCAAAAATATTCACAATGCCAGTTTACCCTGTATTGGCCCCCACAGGCGTTCTTGTCCCTACTTGGCGTTCTTGTCCTTTTAGTGGCAATAAGGATCCCCGGAATTTCCACAGTGATGAAAATCATTTGTATGTTAGGAATTCACTTGATGCTACACTTGCCACTTGCGTGTCTCATGTGTTTCTATGCTTCGATTCATGGTGTTGTTATCTTTGTGTGTGGCCGTTTTTCCCATCATTTAGGCGTTCTTGCCAAAGCTCTTGCCCGTTACTTAGGCATTCTTGCCCTTGACTTATGCGTTCTTACCCGTTCCCCCCTCACTACTGACAATCAGTAGTTGGGTTGATACCCTGCCTTTTGGGGGAGAGTGAATGATATGAGTATCGGGTGGCAAGCGGTTTATTTCTCAAATGTTCTCAAGACTTTTTCATTCAAAGTCAGTAATATTTGTCTCGGCGTTTTTCACCCCAGGCTGCAGCTTAGACGTTCTTTGATGTTATTTTTATATAAAAACATGCGGACTTTGCAGCCTAAATGAAGTTCGGTGGAAATTATTGCCCAACGACGAATAAAGCCTGTTAGAATGATAGTCGTCAGCCTATAGAATTATAATCCGTCTATGGGATTAATAATATATGTGGATAATATGGGGAGTCATGATGAGTTACTCAAAGCTCTCGTCCCTTCAACCTGGCGCACCCCAAACCCCTGTGACCAACGCGACCACCGTGAGTACCTGCGGTTTGGGTGCTCGTCCTGTTTATGTCCTGACTCCCTCAGCTTGCCTGGAAAATAAACGTTTACCATTCACTGTGGGAAACACATTTTACTTTATATATATAATATATACGATACAGGTACAGTACTAGATACAGTACATCCTCAGTAGGCGCTGAAAGGGAAGGGGCAATTGGGTTCCGTCTGGATCATTGCACCTTGCCCAAGGAGCATCCATGAACCCCCCTGGGTTGGACATGACCACTTGCCGGCAAGCTGCAGCTTGACTGCTGGGATAGCCAGCCATGGTGTGAGGCTCAAGTCTTCCTACACCGCCGAGCAGTCACACATCCGCTGCCGCTTGAGCAGGCACACAGCTTCGCAGCTTCACAAGCTCACAGCTTCGCACCAAGGATGACTGGAAAACTACTAGCTTCTTGTTACTACTAGTAAGGCACTTGTTGCTAGAAGCGATGCACTTGTTCCTAATAGCTTCTTGTTACTACTAGTAAGGCACCTGTTACTACTAGCGTGGCACTTGTTCCTAATGGCTTCTTTGCTCCTAGTAGTAAGGCACTTGTTACTACTAGCGATGCACTTGTTACTAGTAGCGATGCACTTGTTACTAGTAGCATATTACACTCATCTCTGAGACACACCCGACTTTCTGGATCACCTTTGTGGAGGGATCACCTTTGGCGTTGGAAGGAAACCCGTCAGACAGTGTCTGCTTGGCCTCGTTTTGTGTCTCCCACCCACACACTGCCTCAGGAATGGCCAGTCATCAACGCATCCACTCCTGCACTGAACAGCAGAATCCTACCACACTCAAAGCAGAAAAAAAAGGACTGTATCGCCTGACCATAGCAAGAAAAGCTACCCTTGGATATGGAATGCACCTGCAAGATCTGCAAGAACAAAACTAAACATGAAGGGCTCTTTGACCCAATCAGGCCCACCGAACGAATGTCTTCACTTTTCGCAAACGAAGATGCGAAGCGTCGCCCCAGCTACCCGCAGCTACTCTGCCTGTGATTTCCCGGGTCGGACAGGCGCAGGCCATGTTAAAAAGATGTGACTATGATCTTCAATTGATGGAGATTTTAAGAACCATGAGACTAGATAGTAGGTCTAAGAAGAGCAAAAACCTCGCGACAGGTAGCCCAATAGGAACAAACCGGAGCAAGTATTTATTGCTCTAAACTCTAAATCGAATGGGAATGGGGCGAGGATGGGGCTCACAATCCTATGTTTTAAGCAATACAGCCTTGAGTACAGCCTTGTGTTCGTAAGCTGGAGACAAGCATGCCTTGTCCTGTCCCACTTTCTGACGCTGATCTTACCGTACCTTATTGTCTATGACTGGCAAAGAGAACAAACTGCATCTTGAGCCTTCGCTGCAGCAGCTCCAAAACTGTGATCTCAGCTGAATGGCGGCTTCTTTTCAACTCTAACACACCCAAGCCTCTACCTCACAGAATATCTGGCAATACCTGGCAGGCATGACAAAATCCTTTTTCCGACAGTTTCCATTGCGCTTCATAGGGTCCACTGAAAGGGATGCTTAATTCGGGCACAACCCCTCGGCCTTTCGACCCACTCTGCGGTCGAGTTGCTGAGTGACTCTTGTCGAATCATGAAGATTCAAAACATTTTTGCAGCCAGTCTCACTGTCTCACTGTTGGTCGAATCACGAAGATTCTGCATAGAGCAGCCTGTCTTACTGTCTCAGTAGTACATGAATGGATTCATGCCCTGCCCTTTGCCCCCGCCACCGCCGGAGCCTCCTCCACCTGTCATTGTCTGGTAGACGGAAGCCCAGTAGTCAGCACTCATGTCATAGCCCGCAGCCAAGTTGGCAAGGCCATATGACGAATTCGGTTGTCCATAAGGGCCAGCTCCATGGCTTCTCTTTCCGCCTTGGGCCTTTCCATACCCTTTACCACCACCACCGCCACCGCCGCCACCTCCACCTTTCCAGGAGCCACTTGGGTCGCCAGGCTCTTCAATCTTCACTCTGACTGCCTTGGTCTTCCCGTTCCGATCATTGATCTCCAAATCGTAGCTCAACTTGGCTCCAGGAATCATATCTGCCTCACCTCCATTGATCACGGCTTGGAAATGAATGAAGACATCTTCGGTACCATCATCAGGCGCGATGTAGCCTATCCCTTTCTCTGAGAAGAACTTTTTCAAGGTCCCTGTCTGAGACATGATGTAGAAGGTGGCAGGCAGCAGGCAGCTGGCCAAATGGCACCACACGAGCTCTATTGACTCTTTTCAAAACCCCAGGGTCTTCATAACATGAAAGACTGAAACAGCCTTGAATTGTGTGGTCGAACATCTAACACTCGCTGTACGCGGAGTTCCGTAGTATGGACTGCAATGTTAATTTACCCTTCAAATCCCTTCAGCTGGCTTGAGAAAGCGCCGAGATTAGCGAGTGCAATTCTTACGTTCAGGTAGTTTCTTGTGACAAAACATATTGTTGCCTGCTGTCATCAATTGTTGTTATTGAATCAGGATGATCCCTCAGAGCAGACCTTGTAGTGATGTCGTCAGACCTGTCTCTCCACCGACCGGTCCAGTTGTGCGGTCTGCAGACCGGCCCAGTCGTTCACCTGTCTCTCCTCCGGTGTCTGTCACCCTCCCGCCACGCGGATGGCACCTCCTGGCGATGCACCTTGAAGAGTGGCGTGGCGGGACTGGCCGCCGCCGGTCGCGCGATACAGCGCCAGGGACGCTCCTGGACCGTACGGTCGTGAGAAGCGAAACAAAAAGGCACCAAACCATGCAAAACCAATGAAAGAAGAAAACCGCCCCTTTGTGGCATTTACCATAGGATGAAGTCATGAAACTGAAGGCAGCCCATACGTATCTGGGTTTTCCAATGTGTTACTTTTCGGATGATGAAGGGGCTCCTGGCATCGCTACTAGGAGCAAAGACGCTACTAGGGGCTCCCGGCCGTACTACGAACGGAGCAGGTAGCTACTAGTAGCAAGAAGCTACGAACGTAGAAGAAACCACATCATCCACCCGGTCCGTCCTGGCGATCGGGCGTGAGTTCTCGTAGCGCTGTCGCGAGGCGAGGCGCCACATAGGACCAAGGGCCCATGTTCTTCGGTTCCTCCTGCGATAGGCCAGGTGGATCAGGAGCTGGAGCTGGTTTTTCTCGATGACAGAATTAACACCTCTGAGTTTGTGTTATACATATATAAATAGCGAAACAAATACGGTATATTCATAGCAATTATAGTTATATATATACAATGTCATATCTGTACTTTTCACCACTTCACAAGCTGTGCACTAACACCAGACTCTCTCTTTTTCGTCTGAACTGGGGATCTTTCGGGGCAGCTGAGCTGCCATGTGAACAGGAAAATTAAGCATCTGAACTGACCCCTTACTTACTGTACAAAGAACCCGGAACTCGTGTAACTGCTTCGACCGTCTCCACCAGACCTTGGATTCTCTTAACGGATTTGGTTTCACCACTGTATTCCCTGCAACTTATGCCGCCGGGCTTCACGGCAATTCCACTCTCTTTGATCGGATTCACGTTCATGTTTGCAGCTTGATTTCACTTTCACAAATGCGCTGTCTCACTTTTCCAACCACGACCACTTTGAGATCGGACGCGTTACAGTTCTTGTGTCTTTCCACGCCCCCCCACCTTGCAACCTAATTCGTGTTTCTATCCCACCCGCTATCTAGGGTAACAGAGGGAATGGTACTCGACACACTTGTGCGTCGGTACCTTTCCTTCTGTTTCTCCTTTTCTACTCCTAGCTACCCTGGCGGTTTAAGACGTACGTCCCGCTCGCTAACTAGTGCATTTAATTCATGCGGCTAAGTAGTCAGTAACTAGCAGGTTTCGTAACTAGTGGGCCTTGTCACTACACCTATCTTTCTCTCTTTCCTTTGCGTTTTCCTTTCTGTCTTTCTTTCCTTTCGTTCTAAGGCTTTTTAGGTGATTAGTGAGTTCCCCCAGAGCGCCGATATCGGCGTTCTGTGTGTGTGTCCACCTCTGTAACTAAGAGTTTCTGGTTTTCTCAACTTTCAAGTCGCAGGGGAGCTATCAAGGCCGACCTATCAGGCTCAGATGCGTGACGGTCGATTTCCTAGTCACGCCAGCGAAGCTAGGGAAATCGACTGGATGGAAGTTTGGGCGCAAACTTCTGTACCTGCGCGGATGGAAACTTTTGCACGCGCTGTGACTCCACTTTTCCTTTTGTTGTTTCCATGGTGGTTGTTCGCATGATATCCCCCAAAACAGGTTTCCTTAGCTTTGGTAAAGTGCTAGTGCGTTTGTTAAACAGTTCTGTTCTTCGGACCCTTGCACCTTACCGTTCTTGCAGTAAAGGGCTAATGCAGTAACTAGCTTCCGCAGTCAAATGTGAAACCAATTTGTTCAAACACCTACAAATGCTTGGACTCTTTGCCTTTCTGTTCGAGTTAACAGCAAACCAATGTCAGAGTATGTGAAACCCTTGGAAGCGACGGCGCCATCCCCATAACGCCCGGCCTCACTCTACTGTACTTCATGGCCTCCTCATCGCTGTCTGGGCGGACGTCGCTGCAAACCGGAGCCGAGGAGGAGAATCCAACTTAGTCACATTGGGTGGGTGTTCCTTTCTTGAGATGCTGTTTGAGATTCCAAAACCAGCAACAAGTGATTTGGCAATGTGGGACAACAAACTGATCGCTCGTTCCTGTGTTTAAACATGTCCTACATGGGTCGTCTTGGTATGTCAGAGCTAGGGCCCCCCTGGACCTACCCTGGTTTCGTTTGCGGATCACCTGCGCGTCACGGAGACTTTATTAAGGGGAACGCACTCACAGCAAAGAACATGGTATTTTTCACAGGTGTCCACAATCCACCCCTTCTGCGTTGCTGAAACCAAAGCCTAGAGATTTGCGGCGCCAGACCTGTCCACACGAGAAAATCTCGGCCCCCGACTGGAATTCCATGTACATCCTGAATCCCTCGCTCATGTTGAAGGCCTCAGCTATATAGTAGGTGACTTGCCGCGACTTGCCGAGGTCGCAACTCAACACCATCACCCCGTCTTTCAACTGTCTTGAAATGTCCGTTTCACGTCGAAATTTCAGCATCAAAACCATCAAATCTGTTTTCAACATCCTGTCAATGCAATGCAACGCGGTCGATCCCAGGCCCGGACAACCGCGTCCACTATCTGCTGTCTCTGCCTCGCAGCCTGTCAAATGTAGATGCTGTTGCGATGGGCCGTGTCAAATGAACCCCGTTGTGATGCTGGTTGATGTTAGGTCTTAGATGATCATTTGACCTTGAATCGAAGGAGTTTGGGATTGCGCCCCGCCGGATCTGAGGAGTATATAGAAAACTGTTGAGGCTTGTGAGCGGAGAACTCGAGACAGAGAAATCCTGCCTGCACCCTCCATCCTGCACGCGTCCTGGACCTGCTTCTCCCCTCCAGGCCTCAGTTGTGAAGGCCCAGCCAAAATCGCTTATACGAAGTTGGTGCATCAAAACAACCTTCTGCGATGTTCTACGAAGATTTCTGGGATTTTGTTGCAGTCAGTTTTCCTACTGGTCCACCATTCCACAAAACGTCCACGAATAGCCCCGGGTTCCACGAATGTCCCGCGCATTCCATGATGTTAGTACAATAGTTTTTTGCAAAACTCCTTCTGCGCACTAACCCTTCCGTTGGCCTCAATGAATGTGACGCCTATTGTCTCCTGAAGCTTTGGGCCTCCCGGCGGGTGCATGACCCCATTCCCATCAATCCAGCCCTGCACGTATCGCGCGCAGACCTGGCACCAATGGATGGAAAAGGGATACCACTAAGACCTTACCGGAGACCTGTGT